TTTTTTTTTTTATTGTTTGTGATTCATTAGGGTACAAAGAATTAGGTTACACTGATTGCATTTGTTAGGTAAAGTCTCTCTTATAATTGTGTCCCACCTCCAAGAGGTGTGCCATACACAGTGACTCCCGATGATACTCTTCCTTCCTCCCCTCTCCCCTCTCTCTCATTCCCTTACTCCCCACCTTGTATTAGGTAATCTACTGCCTTCATATTAGAATTGAATACATTGGATTCTTGCTATGAGAAGTTTTTGATTTTGGTGAAAAGCAATTCATCATTTTTTCCCAGCACCATCTTAAGAGCCCCTGTCCACCTCAGTGAATTGCCAGGGTATGGACTGGCACTTTCCTTCCAGTTAGATACACTGAGAAGTTAAAACTGCATTGATCTGGGATAAATGCGCTTTTTGATAGCAGAGTGGGAGAAAGGTGCTCTGGACTGCACCTGCTGCTGGCAAGAGGGCTGGGAAACCAAGTCTCAACTGCCAGGGTGGGGCAGGTCCAGTGCTGAGGGCCATGGATCAGAGTCAGGACTGTGGGGGCTTTTTGACCTGAACCTCCCATGCTGAAGGCCAGGTGGTGGCTCTAGAGGCAGTGTCTGAAGCATTCTGGAGCCAGGTCGTTCAGCCCCACTGATAATCTGTAAGTACCAAACTTCCTGCTGGGACACCATCTGCCTAATACTCAAAGACCCCTTTACCTCTGGGTTCATTGAACTGCTTGAATGACTGTTGCCATTACTGGGGGCAACAGGCCCATCATACACCCTAGCCAGCTCTGGGATTGGGCAGGGACTTGGCACCTGGAGGCAGGAGGAGCAGGTTCTGGCTCTACCCACCCAGTGTGGGGAGCTGGGAAGAGAGCTGACAGCTGCATTCCTTCAACTCTCTGTGGCCTCCACACTTGGGGTGAGCAGGTGACCCAGCAGAGGCCTTCCCCAAGGTGACATCTGGAGGGTGGAGGGAGCTGGCAGGGGATACAAGTGTGAACTGCCTTTTTTGGATCACAGCCCCTGGAAACCTATTAGAGCAATAACTGTGTATTTAGCAACACCCACACATGTGAACAGGATGCATATTATACAGAGATAGCTATTGTTTGTTTATAAAGTCAGAAGATGGAAACTAATGCCCACCAGTTGGCTGAAGACAGTGTGGACTGTCCACACTACAAGCTGAGAGCAAGGACATTGGCACACTGTTACAGTCACAAAGATCAATGAGAGCAGGAGTCAGTGTGTGAGCAACTATAGAGAAAAAGTTTGGGGTGGTGCCCGTGGCTCAAAGGAGTAGGGCACCAGCCCCATATGCCAGAGGTGGTGGGTTCAAACCCAGCCTCAGCCAAAAACTGCAAAACAAAAAACAACAACAACAAAAAAGTTTGGGCTTGCCTGCATACGCACAGAACTCTCTAGAAGAAACTGGTAAGAGCAGGGTCCTATGTGGTTCAATGGGTAGGGCACTGGCCCCACATCCCGAGGGTGACAGGTTCAAACCTGGACCTAGCCAAAATGCAAGAACAACAACAAAAAAAAGAGCAGGGTCCTCTGGAGAGAGATTCTGGGTTTTAGGGATGAGAAGGCAACTTTCCTTTTTTATATATTTTGCTTTTTATGGTTATGTACATTGTTTTGTTTTTTTGAGATAGAGCCTCAAGCTATCACCCTGGGTGGAGTGCTGTGGCATCGCAGCTCACAGCAACCTCCAACTCCTTAGGCTTAAGTGATTCTCTTGCCTCAGCCTCCCAAGTAGCTGGGACTACAGGCACCCACCATAACGCCTGGCTAACTTTTGGTTGTAGTTGTCATTGTTGTTTGGCAGGCCCAGGGGATTTGAACCCACCAGCTCTGCTGTATGTGGCTGGCACCTTAACTACTTGAGCTACCAAGTCTGGTTATGTACATTGTTTTAAATTATAGCCAGAAGGCAGGTGGATTGCTTAAGCTCAGGCCTTCAAGACCAGCCTGAGCAAGAGGGAGACCCAATTTCTACTAAAAATAGAAAAATTATGGCTCGGCGCCTGTGGCTCAAGTGGCTAAGGTGCCAGCCACGTACACCCAAGGTGGCGGGTTTGAATCCGGCCCGGGCCCGCCAAACGACAATGACAGCTGCAACCAAAAAATAGCCGGGGGTTGTGGCGGGTGCCTGTGGTCCCAGCTACTTGGGAGACTGAGGCAGGAGACTCGCTTGAGCCCAGGAGTTGGAGGTTGCTGTGAGCTGTATTGCCACAGCACTCTACCCAGGGGGACAGCTTGAGGCTCCTGTCTCAAAAAAAAGAAAAGAAAAATTAGCCAATAGCCAGGCATTGTGGCAAGTGCCTATAGTCCCAGCTACTCAGGAGGCTGAGGCAAGAGAATCACTTCTTGGGCAGCGCCTGTGGCTCAAAGGAGGAGGGTGCCAGCCCTGTATGCTAGAAGTGGCGGGTTCAAACCCAGCCCCTGGCCAAAAACTGCAAAAAACAAAAAAAAGAGAGAGAATCACTTCTTAAGCCCAAGAGTTTGAGGTTGCTGTGAGCTGTGACGTAACAGCCCTCTATCAAGGGTAACACAGTAAGACTCTCTCAAATAAAAAAAAAGAAAAACTAGCAGAGCATTGTGGTGGGCACTTATATTCCCAGCTACTCGATAGGCTGAGTCAAGAGAATCTCTTGAACCCAGGGGTTTGAGGTTGCTGTGAGCTATAATGCCCTAGCAACAGAGTAAGACTGTGTCTCAAAAATAAATACTGGCTCAGCACCCATAGTTCATTTGTTAGGGCACTGGCCACATGCACCAGGGCTGGCGGGTTCAAACCTGACCTGGGCCTGCTAGAACAACAATGACAACAATAACAAAAAAATAGCAGGGCATTGTGTGTGCCTGTAGTCCCAGCTACAAGGGAGGCTGAGGCAAAAGAATCACTTAAGGTGGCGCCTATGGCTCAAGGAGTAGGGTGCCAGACCCATATACCAGAGGTGGCAGGTTCAAACCCAGCCCTGGCCAAAAACAACAACAAAAAAAGAGAGAATCACTTAAGCCCAAGAGTTTGAGGTTACTGTGAGCTGGGATGCCACAGCACTTTAGTAACATAGTGAGACTCTGTCTCAAAAAAAGTCATAAATAAATAAATAAAGGGTGGCACCTGTGGCTCAAAGGAGTAGGGCACCGGCCCCATATGCCGGAGGTGGCAGGTTCAAACCTAGCCTCAGCCAAAACCCACAATAAATAAATAAATAATAGGCTTGGTGCCTGTAGCTCAAGTGGCTAAGGCACCAGCCACATACACCAGAGCTGGTGGGTTCAAATTCAGCCTGGGCCTGCCAAACAACGATAACTACAATAAAAAAATAGCCAGGCATTGTGGTGGGTGCTTGTAGTTCCAGCTACTTGGAAGGCTGAGGCAAGACAATGGCTTAAGCCCAGGAGTTGGAGGTTGCTGTTGCTGTGAGCCATAGCACTCTACCCAGGGTGACAGCTTAAGACTCTGTCTCAAAAATAAATAATAAAATGCTGTGTACTCTGGGATCCTCCTAGGTTATTTAAATGGGCCACCCATTAATTACCTGCAGTCACAACCCAGGGGTGTCTGTTGCAGTGGATTATGGACCTTTACACCAAAATTACATAGCCTCTCACCATGGAACCCAAGGTTCTAGTAATTAAGCTGCCTTCTGCCCCAGAAGTGATTTACATATCCTGCCTATGACAGGTGAAATTAACATGGTCAACACCAATCTGGGCTATTTCCCTCCAAGCCCACTCCTTCCTGCTCTCAGGGCCCAGCCGGGGACCCCTGAACACTGCTCCCACTCCACATGAGGTCAGGTAGCTTCTATCACACCTTGAGCTGCCTTCCTCACCACGTCTCTCCAAAGGGTCTCCCTACACAAGGGTTGTCCACCCCCAGCTGGTATACATGCAGGTCACACTTTTACGTGCACAAACATGCACACACCTTCCCTTGCTGATACCCTCCCTCAGCTGTGAGAACCTTGCAATTTGCCCACTCAAACTTCCTAGCCTCCTCCTTGATTATAGTGTCCTACACCTCATCTAAGACATCTCAGCTCAGTGTGATGGCTCACACCTATCTGTACTCCTAGCACTTTGGGAAGCTGAGGTGGGTGGATCGCTTGATCTCAGGAGTTGGAGACCAGCCTGGGCAAGAGTGACACCCCATCTCTTCATCTCTACTAAAAGAGAAAAACCAGCCGGGTTTTGTGGGGACACCTATAGTCCCAGCTACTTGGGAGGCTGAGGCAGGAGTCTTGAACCCAGAGTCTGAGGTTGCTGTGAGCTATGACAACTCCATGGCACTCAATCCCAGGGCAACAAAGTGAGATTTTGTCTCAAAATAAATAAAGCATCTCCTAGCCTCCCTTGTAGCTAGAGATGGCCACAGGATGCAACTGTGGCCACTAAGGTAGAGATCCTGGAGGAACTCCCAGGAAAGCTTGCCAGGGGCCTATTCAACATGCCCCTTCCCCTGCCCTCTCCCTCACTGGAACATGGACAGGGACAGTGCAGGGGGAAAAAACACTGACCAGGACAAGGGCCACATGCTCAATAGAGCCAGGGGAAGAGAGAAGGTGACTGAGTCCAACAGTGCTGGGACCATTGCCCCAGCCCAGGTTCCCCACACCTAGCCAAGCACCTTCTGATGGCTAGACACATTCAACTTCTTGCTCAACTGCTAACAGCTCCAGCCTGCCCTTGCCCTGGCTTCCCTGCCAAGCTTCCTAGGCCCCCTCAGAGGGAGAAAAATGTACAACAAAAAGGCAAAAATAGGATTCACTAAGTAAAATCTATATTTATTTAATAAGAAAATCATGTATTTAAAAAAATAGTGTCTTTACATGCTGAGGTGTACATTATGTAACCTGTGAGCTGAAAATAGCCTTGAAGCAGGTTACTCCTGTGATGAGAATTCATAAGATGCTAGGTGCCAAGATCCTGAGGGTACGAAGACAGGCACAGCTGACAGGCAGGCCCACTAATTCCTGGCTTTGGGGCCACAGGTGAGATTGGCAGCCACAGCAGTGGTGAATCCTGGTGCACACACATCTCAGGAGGCTCTGAGATGCTGCAGTAGGTAGCTCCCATGGCCTCAGTCTGTGTCTTCATCTCCTCCACTGCCCTCCTGGGGGCTGGAGGCCTGCAGAAGAGGAGCAGACAGGAAATCAGCTGGGGCAAGCCCCTTCCCACTTGCAGGTGCGTCCTTCCCATAAGGGGACCCCACCCCCAGCATCTGCTTCTCCCCACCCATTGCTGCCTGTGCTATGCTGGGATAGGCATAGGAGCCAGTGGTGCTGTGCTCTGTAGCCATGTCCTCACCCTCCCACACGAAGAGGAAAGGTAAGTGTTTGTCCTGGTTCAAGAACTACATGGGGGCCAGGCTCAGTGTTTCACGACTATAATCCTAGCACTCTGGGAGGCCGAGGCGAGTGGACAGCTTGAACTCATGAGTTTGAGATCAGTCGGAGCAAAAGCAAAACCCCATCTCTACTAAAAATAAAAAAACCTAGGCAAGAGGATTGCTTGAGCCCAAAATTTGTGGAGGTTGATGTGAGCTATGATGCCATGACACTCTACCCAGGGCAACAGCTTGAAACTCTAATTAAAAAAAAAAAAAAAAGAGCTACACAGGGAAAGCCAGGGGCTTCCAACAAGATCAGTTGTTTGCCTGGCTCCTTTGAGTCCCCACAGGGGAAATAAACTGTGATGTTTCAAAGCTCAACAACGCAGACACTTTAGCACCTAAAGATGGCCAATAGTCAGAAGCCTCCATTCACAGGAATCCAGTGGAAGTCCCATCTGGCCCGGGATCTTTGCACAGTGCTTGAGAAAATGAAAAACCACCACCACTTCAAGTTTGTCTTAAAAAAATTAAGCTTATTGGGCGGCACCTGTGGCTCAAAGGAATAAGGCACTGGCCCCATATGCCGGAGGTGGCGGGTTCAAACCCAGCCCCGGCCAAAAAAAAAAACCACACACAAAAAAATTAAGCTTATTTGTAAATATTAGTTGTCTATTTTTTGAGACTTTGGGAAAAAAAATAAGAAGTTAACTGATGACTCCATACTGAAGCTCAGAGTCAAAGCATTCTATCGCAGACATACTCTTGACAATGTGAATGTTATTATTGCTCAATATTTCATTGCAGCAATTGTCTGATTTCTTTTCTGAATGTATTTCTTTTCCTTGTTTGTTCTTTACAAGGTTCTAGTTTCTTGTCCTTATCTTCAACATTGTTATTACATTTTAAGCCTTTTTAATTTTGTGAAGGCAAAAAGTAGAAATCAAATAAACACATGTATATATATAAAAAAAGAAAATATATCATTCTTCTGAAATAAATGAAAACAATGGAAACATTAAAAAAAAACATTTAAGTTTACTGCCAGACATCATGTTCTGATGGGCCCACCACCAGCTGTGGCTGGGCTGCCGCAGGGCCTACGGGTAGAACAAGAGGCCCCCGGCTGTGCAGTACCCACAGCCCCACATCCCAAGGCCGGAGCTAATTCCCAAGCCTGCCCCTCACTGGCCTCACTGCCCTAGGTCCTATGTGCACAGGGGTTTGCAGCCTGGAGTGCAGGAAGGATGTTTCTATGGGTTTCTGGACAATAGGAAGGAATCTCCTCAAGCTCCAAGTGGGGACCTCACCCTTTGAAAACCCACTGAGCAAGGTGGCACCTGTGGCTCAGTGGGTAGGGCGCCAGCCCCATATACCAAGGGTGGTGGGTTCAAACCCAGCCCTGGCCAAACTGCAACAAAAAAATAGCCGGGCATTGTGGCGGGCATCTGTAGTCCCAGGTACTCAAGGGACTCGGGAGGCTGAAGCAAGAGAATGACCTATGCCCAGGAGTTGGAAGTTGCTGTGAGCAGTGTGAGCCACGGCACTCTACCAAGGGCAATAAAGTGAGAGTCTGTCTGTACAAAGAAAAAAAAGAAGAAAGAAAACCCCCTGACCACTAGCAGTGGTCTCTCACCCCCAGGCAAAAAATTGAGAATGAAAGTGGAATTTCAACTTCAGACTGCATTTAGCTCCAATACATCTGATCACATATGCTCTTGTCCTAACCTATCCTTGATGGTCAGATGCAATGGCTCATGTCTGTAATTCCAGCACTTTGAGAGGCTAAGGTAGAAGGGTTTCTTAAGGGTAGGGGTTTAAGACTAGCCTGAGAAACACAGTGAGACCCTGCCTCTAAAACTAAATTTTTTTAAAAAATTACCATGCATGGTGGCTCCAGCCTACAGTATAGTCCTGGTTTCTCAGGAAGACAAGGCAGGAGGATCACTTGAGCCCAGGAGTTCAAGGTTATAGTGGACTATGATTATGCCACTGCAATCCAGCCTGGGCAACAGAGTGCGATCCTATTACAACAAACTATACCTGACAATTGTCTAGCCACCAAGTCTTACTTCCTGCCAGGTCCCTCACAGGTATGTAACAGAAAGTCCAACTCCAGGCTCACCCTCCCAGAGGGCAGATAGTTTACATAGCGTGAGATGCTCATGCCCTGCACCCAGGCAACCTTCTGGTAGAGGGAAGAGGGCAGACCTAGACAAGAACATGGTTGAGAGGAGCAGACACAGCCCCAGAAGCACCGGCCCTGCCCCCATGAGCCTGGAAGCCATGCCCAGGATGGCATCATGCAATCCCAGTACAGGGAGTGGGAGGGTGGTAAGGCATATCTCTTGGCCACTGACCGCCTAGCCCTGTTCCTGAGACTGCTATGTGACTCTGGGGGAGCAGTGCACCTGTCTGTGCCTCGGCCTGCTCTTCTACACAACGGGAATGACACTCAGCCTGGCCTCTGTGAGGGTACATGCTGCAGCTTAGCCCTCCCGTGACCCAGCCCCTACCTTGGTGCCTGTGCCAGCCGCTGCAAGGGCAGTGGCACTGAAGTCATGGACAGGGAGTGTACTGAGCCACTGGGCCATGGACCTCTCGTCCCTCTCGGTACTGACGATGGTGGGGTAGATGTGCTCCTCCTTGAAGGCCGCAACCTTGCCTTCCTCCTGCGCCCAGTCCAGAGGCTCGTGCAGCCCATCATTGCCAAAGCGCTGGTTATACTTCTCAAAGTGCACCCTCTCCAGGACGAGGCCAAGCCCTGGTGCCTTGGGCACATCGACCTTCTCCTCCCCCCAGCTGCGCTCCAGAACACTCTCTGGGGCGTAGCCCTTCACAATTGCCACCACCAGGCCAACCATCTTCCGTATCTGATGCATCATGAAGCTCTGGCCCTTCACCTTGATCACAGCGAACTCCAGGCCCTCCCGCTCAAAGGGCTCTTCGCAGAACATCTCCAAGATGTAGCGCTGCGCGCTTGGCTCCCTTGGCCCCTTCTGCGAGGTGAAATTGTGGAAATTGTGAGTACCTTTATAACATGCCAGGAGCCTGTTGACTCGCTGCAGTGTCTCAGGGCTCAGGCGGTAGGTCTCATCCTGCACGTCCCGGTCCTTGTGGGCAAAGGCAAAGGTGGGCAGCATGTAGCAGTAGGTCCTGGCATCACACTTGTTCTTGGAGTTAAAGCCACCCGTCACTCTCTTCAGTCCTAGGGAAGAAGCAGGAAGTGAGAAGATACACAGGTAAACAGGAACTCACCAAAACCAGGAAGCATCCTGAGCAGCATGAGGACCAGCATCTCCTCACCCAAGACAGGTACCAAGTTCTCATGCGTACTGACTTCTGGGAAGAGGGGACTTTGCCCAGGGTGGTGATGAGATCTAATAGTACAACTGCCTGGGAGAGATGACTGCACTACAGTGGCCGTAATTAACAATGATTTGTTGCAAGTTTTCAAATAGCTAAAAGAGAGGATTTTAATTGTTCCCAACACAAAGAAATAACAAATGTCAGGCAGTGCCTGTGGCCCAGTGAGTAGGGCGTCGGCCCCATATACCAGGGGTAGCAGAATCAAATCCGGCCCCGGCCAAACTCCAACAACAACAACAACAAAAAATAGCCGGGCGTTGTGGCGGGCGCCTGTAGTCCCAGCTACTTGGGAGGCTGAGGCTAGAGAATTGCCTAAGGCCAAGAGCTGGAGGTTGCTGTGAGCTGTGAGGCCATAGCACTCTACCGAGGGCAACAAAGTGAGACTGTCTCTAACAAAAATAAAATAAAATAAAGATTCAACTTCATAAGCAATGAACATTATAAGGACGGTTTGCAAATGTAATTTTAGTTGTTCAGGACATATCTGCCATGAAAAGGCTCAATAGCACTGGCAGACAACATATTGTCTGAATGAGGCCACGTCTTTGTTATATGTTACGCAGTGATGCTAACCACGGAATTACCTTGCATGGGGACCTGGTGTTGTTTTAGCAAAACTGGGGATTAATCTATGAAATGCATTAAAATATTCTTCATAGAAAGGAACTGGTAAGGGACGTCAAATACGACTTTCAGAGGATTTACTCTACTAGGAGTTCAGAGAAAGACCATACTACAATTAAAAAAAAA